TTTTTTTTTGAAGTTTAAATGTGAGTATTTAAATGAATATTTCTGTGTAGTCAAATTCTTGCAATTAGAGTTTATAAATTCTCTGACTTAATCATATTTTTATTCTTGCATAATTTTTAGATTTTTAACCAACTGTTAATCATGAAATGAAAAGTTCTACAAATGATATTGTTAACAAGACTGCATGACACGTTTTAAGGACTGTAACTGTTCTGGCTGCTGATGCGGTTGGCGAAGACGATACGTAGCAATGCATAAACTTGGAGCGGAAGATACTGAGGTGACATTTGTAAGGAATAGATGATATTTTGCAACCAATTGTTAGAGGTTCTTTTTTGCATTTCTGTTTTTTATATCGTTAGAATGCAGGAAGCTGGTAGGCAATGTTACAGTCACTAAGACATAAAAAAACTGCCCATGCCACTTATAATTGTACTAACTGGTCTTTCAGAAGACTGTTCTTTAAAACAGAGTATAAATTAAAAAAAAAAAAACTAAAAAGTTCAAAGTACTTGAGTATCTCTGACAGATCATTAGTTCAACCTTTTATTCTTTTGACAATTGCGTACATCAACAAATTGCGTTTATTTTAAAGTCTAAATTTTACCTTAATTAGATTGACTTAAATGTCTCTAACTTAAGTGTTGACCATAAATTTTGTTATGACTTGTGCTGATCACCTTACCACATCAAAAAAAAAGTTTTTACTTTTACGAGATTGCCTTTAAATTGAAAAAATTTGAAAAAAAGATTTTGGTCTTGCAACAACACTTAAAGCCTGCAACCGAGCTTCTGAATTATATTACTTACACTTTTAAACCTGTTTTTTTTTTTTTTTTTTTTGCAAATTAAGTTGTTGCACTTTGTACTTATGAGTAAAGTGAGTTTTATAAGACCTTCACGATGTTGTTAACCTTTATTTAGACTTAAGCTTTTCACCAAATTTTCATTTATAGTTGTTTTAATAGTTGTAATTTGACACTACATTCATCTCCAACTTGTTGCCTATGTTTGGTGATATACCTATATTAAACAACAAAAAATTGTAATATTAGTTTGATTATAAAAACTTTGGGACTTAAAACAGCTTTATTGAAAACTAAAGTTGGAAAAGCTTTTTAAGAAAATCGTGTGGTGAATGCAGAAGATTTATTGATGAAATCGAGAAAGTCATTATTAGACAATTTTTGGAACAAGAGGGTTCTTTGCAAATACAAAATTTGGATATCAAGAGTTTGCATTTAAACCATGTCAGACAGAAACATTCCCAATAATGAAAGCTCTTCAAGAAATTCTTAAAATATTTTAACTCACTAAACTATATAGCACAAAAAACAACAGCAACTCCATTTATGGTTTTCTACTGCTCTTTTTTCTTCATAAAGAACAACTCTTGACAGCAGCAAAAATAGATTTGAAAACTTTAGTTTCAGAGCACTAAAAAAAGAGGATAAAGAGGAAGAAGAAGAAGAAGAAGAAGAAGAGGAAGAGGGAGAAGAAAAAGCAGCAACATTGACGACGACAACAACAATGATAATTAAAAAAAAAAAAAAAAAAAAAAAAAAAAAAAAAA